GCACAGCCCCTGCCTCCTTCCCTCCAGCCATCCACTCAAACGCCTGGATCAAACCGTTCCTGCTCACGCCCTGACCCACCTTCCCTCTCTGCTTTTCTTCATCAGCACCTGACTTCGATATCTTCTATTTACTTTTTCGGTTAACTCTGCCCTGATCCTTCCTCAATGACACAGAAACATTCAGTACTGAGGGTGCAGAAGAAGGGAGGAGGAAAGAAGGGAGGGAGGAAGAGAAAACTGTGGCTCTGAGAGGGGAAGGGGACAGACACACGGGTGAGACCATCCGAGGTCTGCATCGGAACAGAGAACCACTCACGTCTCACTCCAGGGGATTTGTGAATTGACACAAAAGCCTGATTATGCTGTTGCAGTTCCTATGCGGCAGCTCTGGGGTGAATAACAAATCACTGACAAAATGTCACTGCCTCAGCAAAGGCTCCAGAGGGAGGAGCCATCAGCAACGCAGCACCGAGGGTGATCAGCGGGGATTCCCCATAGCCACGGTCCCCTGACTAGAACAAAACAAGACTGCAGGTCAGAAGAGAGCCAGTCGGCAAATAGAGGGGTGCAGTGTAGACTCGGGTGTCCACCAAGGCAGAGGGGGAGGAAGAACTTTCCCTGCGTACATCCTCTAGTCCCAACGCTGGCCTCGCTGGCTCCAAAGAAGTCATTCGCCTTTGGGCTGCGCTGCGTCCCAGCTCCGACTGGGAGAGGAGACACAGTGCCTGTGGAAGGCCCTTCCGAAAAGCCCCCCAGACCCTAGGGCTGTCCGACAGGGGCCGGGTCAGCCTGCGGGGGACGCTCTGCCACTCTCACCCTCCTCTCGCCTGGACCCCACACCTGCCCTGCTCATCCCACCACCAGCAGGCTCGTCGCGTTACACTGGGAGAGAACAGAAACCAGAAGTACGCAGACACCGAGAATTTCCACCAGTCCCAGTAAGCACAACACCAGAAACGGTCACCACCATGGCTAGTGACTCACTGGGCTCAATCTTGGACGCTGCCTATCTCCCCACCAGCAGACGAATGGATAAAGAAAATGTGGGACTTACACACAGTGCAGCGCTGCTCTGCCGTAAAGGAGGATAAACTGTAGGAAAACAGGTGTACATCGAGACCGTAATGTTAAAGTGAAGTAAATCAGAACACAAGCTTGCATGTCATGTGGTTTCTCTTGTGTGAGAAACTACCCCCCAACCAGGGATCCAACTCAGGACCTTGCACTTGTGAGGCAGGCACAGTGCCACTGAGCTAAATCCCTGGCCCCAAGAAACTCAACATATAAATAAAGTGTAAAAGAGCAGACAGACAATAGGAAAAAAAAAAGAGAAAAAATTATATTTCAGGATGCCAATGTATCTAAGTGTGTACCTTGATTTAGTGTATTTGTCTTATGCGTTTTATACATTTTTTGGTCTGTTAGTCTGGCTGTTAATTTGTGTTTATGAGCCAAGTATGGAGGCGCACACCTGTAATCCCAGCACTCAGGAGGCTGAGGCAGGAGGATTGCCGCGAGCTCAAGGCCAGCCTGGGCCACATAGTGAATCCAAGGCCAGCCTAAACTACATAGCGAAACCCTGTCCCAAAACACCCCCTCCAAAAAAGTCTATGTTATGATAATTAACTGGATAAAAATACAAATAAATAAATAAATCTGATGCTGGCCAAAAAAAAAGATGTGTTATATAGATGTACCAACTCCCCACAATGAATATAATCATTATGTATTGTAAAAGTACTAATAAAAATTTTATGTTTGAAGACCTTAGATTTGTAGATTCACATTTTCGTTGTTGTTGTTTGTTTGTTTAGTTTTTTGAGACAGGGTCTCACTATGTAGTTGAGACTGACCTGGAACTCACTATGTAGCCCAGGCTGTTCTTGAACTCACAGCGATCCTCCTGCCTCAGCCTCCCGAGTGCTGGGATTATAGGCGTGTGCCACCACACCTGGCAGTAGATTCACATTTTCAGTGACATATAAATGCTGGGGAAGGAATCTGCCCTCATGTCTGCCTCGCCTCTCCACGCTGCCCTCGTATTTCACAGCCACTGAGAGAAAACTACAGGCAAACAGTTTCCCTTTTCACACTAGCTGTGCGGCCCCTACGTAGGATTCAACTATTTCATGGCCTCAGGATGACGAGACTAAAAGAAATAGACTTGGTCCAATAATCTGCCATCTTCTCCAATTGTTGGCTGGGGTGAGTTTTTCTGTTTCAGTACGGAAGGGTGTGTGTGTGTGTGTGTGTGTGTGTGTGTGTGTGTGTGTGTGTGTGTGTGGG